GGCTTTAATTATCCTATTAATAATTAAGCATAGAGGGGTCAAAGTGAAACATTGACTTAGAGGTTATTTACTATTTAATTGGAGTGCAATTAATTTCTTTTAGTAGAGTAGAAATTAATTTATGAATTAATTGAATTGGGTCCATGGTTTAATGGACCGGACCAATTATTAATTTATAGAAGCCAAAAAAAAAAAAAGTAAGCCCAAAAGGATTCTCACCAATAGCCCAAGTTGATATTGGAGTCATGTTAGAATTGAGAAAGTTGAATTAGAGATGGAAAATGATTTATTGTTTCCTTATTCTTATTTTTATTTTGCCTATATATACATGAGTTCATGTATATTTTAGGGGTGACTTTAAGAACAAGAAAAAGGAATACACTTTCTCTCTCTAGATTTTAGGGTTTTGTTTTCTCTTCTAAAGGAGGCTACCACAAACCTAGATTCCAAGGTCATTCATCAAGACATATTGGTGATTCCTAAAGGGAAGATAATAATCAAGAAGAATGAGAAAGGATCTTGCTAAAGGGATCTACAATAAGTGAGACCATTCACTTTAGAGGAAAGTTCAAAAGGTTTACTCAGACCTTTGATGTAAGTATTCAATCTGTTTATTGAATTATACATCATCTTTTATTTATCTTTGCATAAAACTTGTCTCTATGTGATGAATCAAGATCCATGATTGCAAATCCCTCAAAAGTTTTAAAAACTTGCACGTTTTCCAACAAAAACAAGTTTAGAGTGGACCACTTTTATGTACCTAGGTGATAGGCCATTTGAGAAAATTTGGAGCCAGATGAATCACTACTGATTTATCTCTCTCTCTCTCTCTCTTGTGTAGTTTTGATCAATCATTAAGTTATGAAGAGCGAGAAAAAAGGACGAGACAGGCTGCTGTAAGAGCTTCTTTTGTCCAAGATCTGTTTGTCTCAAGTCTTCCGCTAAGCGACTAGTGGGATGTAATAAGTTAATAAAAAATAATGTTAATTGAGTTATTTGGCAGTTGTGATAAGGGGAATGTTGGGTGGAATTGAATTGTTTCATTTTTTTGAACAACTCAATGAATGCCTCATTCGATATCATAAAATCAATAATTTTAAGCTTCTCTAAACGAGAGATGTTCTGCTTTCTCCTAAAAAATACGAATTTTCTTTGTTTCTGGAAATATATATACTTTTAAGACTTGTTACTTATCAAATATATATATATATATATATATATATACACACATACTTTTAAGACTTGTTATATCCCCAGAAAGCAAATTCTCAGCAAAGGATAGTCTCTTGTGCAGTTATGTTCTGGTTGGTCCCCAAGGTAAAGAAGACAAAATGTGGAATCCTACACATAAAAATCATTAAACTCCATAAATTTTAATGGTTTGGAAATTGAAATGCTTTTCGTTTGAGTAGAAATAATGCAAACTTCTACTATGATTTGATGGTAAGAACGCAATGCATGTTATTACTTTAAACTAATCATGGTTGTCTGTTTTTCCTGTTAAGCACTGAATAACCTAACTTGGTGCTAAAGTTGCAACGTCACCTGGATGTTCCTAGGTATCCGGTTTTCACAAACACTTTCCAAAAACATTTTTTCAAAACAATTCCATTGTCTTTTTAAAACAACTTTTCCCCCATTCCATGCCCAATGAAAATGCATAAATGCACCATGCCTCTTAAACATCATAAGTTTTTATACATTTGAATTTTTAATCATAAACACAATTGGGAGAAAAATTATATAATACGTATCATGCTTCTTATTATATCTCTGGCAACTCAAATACATAAGGTATGGAATATAATCATTTAAGGCATGTTTTCTTATAAATTGGCAACTAACACATAATCACATAGCACTTATACAACAAATAAATCATTTTTGTAAGGTTCCACATGAATTAAGCATGCTATACAATAATTCATGAAGAATAATTCACAAAAATCTAAGAAAAATGTGAATTAGAAACCCCTACCTCTTAATCGAAGAAAAGCCCCAAAATTTTCAAATCCACGCCCTAATTTTGAAATCCTTAAGGGTGGCCAAATGGTGATTGGCTCCAATCAAAATAACGGCCTCGGTGAGCTCTCCAACTTTGCCTAAAGGAGTACTATCAAATTCTCAATAACAAAGCTTGAATGAAGGCTTAAATGGAGGAAAAAGAAAAAATATATATATAAACTGATACCAGAGAGAGAACGACGAGCTGAGAAGAGAGGATATGTGAAGTCTGTAATGAATATATGGTCATTATTAATGACCTTCCTTAGTTGCTGGTCCAGCAGCATATAAAATATCTTTAACATTAATATATATATATATACCACCAACCAAAATACAACCACAAGATAATCATGTGATCACATAATTATACATTAATTAACAATGCATGAAATGCAATGAACCCGTAACACAGTCCCCGTGCACCACAATCCTAGTATCGGGTCCCATTTAGGACCTCCCGGCTCGAAAAACAGAAAAATGCTGAAATGGCAAACAATGCATTTCCATGAGTCCTGAACTCAAGGAAATGCTCCAATCAACTCTATGAACTCTCCCGGAACACCCTACAGTGTTCGGCACGCAAAACAAGATAATGATTAAAATAATTCAGAAAATCAAAAAAAAAAAAATCCCATAAAATGTAAAATTGGAAAATTTAGAAATATTAAAATCTATCCTCCTTAAAAAGATTTTGTCCTCGAAATCTACCCCCCTTAAAGAAGGAGGCCCACAGCCACACACCTCATCGAGAAAACACCTCATAAGACCATAAGACTATGAGCTCTCCAACCTTATTGCCTTTGACACTGGACTTCAATAGCCAATCACGTACCACTGTTACAAAAACACAATGCTCACCACCCTATAAAAACACAATACACAAGACCGGCTGGTACGCTCTACGCTATACCCGACTTAAAACGGACATCGGTCCACTCTACACTACTACGCGAGGCTTCTATAACGACCCGAACCCATGGTTTCGAACCGTTAGCCGGGTTCTTACTCGAAGCCAAGGTCAACTAGGTCATACTATCCATTTCCTGTGTCCATAATCGTCATACGAGTCATTCCAGGGTCCAAAATACCCTGAGGTACAACCTTACAATAATGGTCAAATAATACAGGTCAAAATGAAGGATCAGCCGGCTGACGACCCTTGACCGGCCGGCTGACAGGGTAGGTTCGGTCGGCTGACCTATAGGGTCGGCCAGCTGAAATGATTGTGTAGAATGCATGCTCTCGGGACTCTGCTATAGTAAGAGTGTCGGTCGGCTGGAGGGGAGGTTCGGTCGGCCGAACCTGGGGTTTCGGTCGGTTGAAAGGTCGGTTGATGGTGAGTTTTAGTTGGCCGAAACAAGGCTTCTCACCATTGAACTCTCTAAAATGTAACAAAATGCACTATCAGCAGGCTGATGATCCTTGTCAGCCGGCCGACAGGCCCTGGGATGCTGCTATATGTAGTTTCAAACATCAAAATGCTAAGTTTCTTGCAAGCCAACTTATGAGGAAAACCTGATATGCAAACAAGTCCGAATTCATGGCAATAGTTTCAAACATAATGCAGTTATAGGCATCTATGATTAGTTAAAAACATAACTTCACTTCCTATTCATCATGAAAATAACTACATAGTCTTACCTCACTCCAAAATACCACCAAGAGTTATAACTACAATACATGGCCATGTTTTGCAAAATTAAATACATTTTACTATGGGTTGAGACTTTACAAAAGAATATCAAATACACAAAAAGTGACCAAAAAAAAAAAGAAAAGATTTCTAGTCCTCCTCATGCTTGTGAAGGGTCGGCGTCCACTACTTCCTTTCCCAGCCCTGAAAAAAATGATAAATGTAATGAGGTGAACAAATTGCTTAATAGGTTGTGCTTAAGACACACCTCTTGTAACCCCGTGGATCCAATTAATGAATTGGAATAGGGAATAGTGTCATGCTATACTAGAAAAGAGTACAACATCAATTCCAAATTCAAAATAAACAATGCCGTGCCATTAAATGCGATGCCATGTATGTCACTCCCCATTTTCGAAATCACTTCCATTCTCCACTTTTCAAACCGTTAACATAACCTGTCCCTCGGTGACTCCTCGGCGACACAAGAGAAAGATTGGCTACTATCCCTGACCCTTGGTAACTCTGCGGCGTCATTTGGGGCCCAGCTAGTTCAATCACACTAGGGTGATTTCCCTAATTCCGTTTAGGTTATATTAACGCCACGGCCCTTCGGTAATTCCACGGCGACCAGGTTTTTCACAAAACCACTTTAATCAAAACTTTGCCCCAAAAAAAAATCCATTTTTCATTCACTTCAAATCATTTTGCCCTTTTCTATGCCCAATACTATGCATGCATGTCACATTCTTTGCTATTACTATGTAAATAAAAGAATTTCTACTATACATTTTAGCATGCTTCCACATAGTAATTTCTAGCAAGATAATAAACACCATAGGCATGGAAATTAATACTTAGGCATGTTTTTCATATAATTCAATTAATACATATAATCATAGATTTCATATACAACAATTATATCATTTTCAAGACAATCAACTCAAATTAAGCATGCTTGACATCAAATTTTGAAGGAAAATTCACAAAGGAACAAAAAATTGGGAATTAGAAACACCTATCTCAAAATATGCAAAAACCCTCAATTTTGTGCCCTAGATTTCGAAATTTCAAAGTGCACCAAACGAAGAATTGCTACGATCAAATCGTAGATCTCGTCGAGCTCTTTAATTTGCTGTAAACGGCATCAAAAATCTCTCAACGGTTTGAGAGAAATCAACATTTGAAGTTTTAAAATCAAAAGAAACAGAAAAATCTAGAAAGAGAAGGAGAGAGAGAGACTTACGGGAGTGGGAGAAAATGTGAGGCCAACATGACCTTTTGGCGACAATTTATATAAGTGGTTGGTCCCATCACTTTTAATTAAAATTTTTCTTTTTCTTTTTGCATGTCCAAGGGTTGGGCTGTTCGCCCATTAAAGTGGTATGGGAACTGGGTTCAGAACGTCGTGAGATGGTTCAGTCCATATCCGGTGTGGGCATTAGAGCATTGAGAGGACCTTTCCCTAGTCTGAGAGGATCGGGAAGGATGCACCTCAGGTGTACCAGTTATCGTGCCCATGGTAAACGTTGGGTAGCCAAGTGCGGAGATTGAAAAAAAATCAATCTACTTTCATTTGGTATTTTGGCCTAAATTCCTTGACTCCCAATACTCAATCAAATCTTCGTTTTTTGACGATTGAATGCGCTTCTATAGTACCATATCTAGTAATTCCCGAACTTATTCTTCTGTATCGAGGATCATCGAAATAAGCAAGAATACTATTTCTACGGAAAATGCCATTTATGGGTATTTCAATCGAGATACCTGAATGGGGTATTCGTTTTTTCTTGCAGTCCCGAATCGATTGGAGTGGAATGATGAATCTATTTCTTCGCCTCTTTGCCAATAAATCTGAATTCTCGTGGAAAATGGCAAGATATGTGAGATTACAATGACCAGTACATATGATTCGATTACGTTCTGAATAATCAAGAATTCTATCTTGTTGTTTACCAGAAAAATCCAAACTAAAGAATTTGTTTATAGTTAAATAAAATATTACGAGCTTGTACACATGCTTATCTAGGCCAAGGCTTGGTTCAACATTTGGATAACAAGAATCAGATGCGAGCGAGTTCCTTTCAACAGACAGTCGAGGGAATAGCCATTCTATAACAGACGTAGATCTTTTCTTTTGACTGGAAAACTGAAATCTGAGTTTATCTATATATGAGATTATAAGAGACCACTCATCCTGTCATCCTATAACTATTTGTTTGCCCAACTGCGAGTTCTTAGGGAATCACTTCTTCTCCAAATTGTGATGTCGAATCCCACAGATGTTCGAAGTCATATTCTTGCCTTGGTGCGAAAGAGCTTCTACTGAAGCTGATGTTCCCCTCTTCCCTTGTTACTAGCTGTTTTGTTTGATTTCTCATTGGAAAACGCTTTCAATTGGATACTCAAAAGCTCCCCTTTTCGGGCGTAATTGGATTAGCGCTTTTGACTTGATTTTGGTTTTCTCACCTCTTTTTGGAAATATAACTTGTGAGCAATTGCTGTCTTGTTTCTCAAAAGGGCTTTGTTGCTCCCTGCCTTTTCACTTCTGTACTTTCTCCAACCAAACAGCTTCTAGAATCTAAATCCGTCTCTATGGCCATTGTAGTGAGCTTTAAGCCACTTTCACTCCCCTTTTTGATGGATTCCCCACAAGATGTCTTTCCTGCGGTTTGTCCCCTTGTCACCACAGCCATAGAAGACATGTTTGATATTTGATTCAGCCAGGATTCAGTTCAGTTCAATACCATCTCTAATCCAATGCTTGGCTTACTCCCTCGCCGGAACACAGTCCAGTTTTCTCTTCCCGCGCCAGTTGCTTCTTTTCGTTAGTCGTTCTTTCACTTGGAAATCCGATCCGACGATAATTAAATCATCACAAAATCATCACAAAATTTAATTAATTAAGAAATATTTGACTTCTTAATCGATCCGACGATAATTAAATCATCACAAAATTTCAGTGTCTACAGGGTGCACAAAAAAAAATCAGTGAAATCGAAAAACAGAAGTAGACCGGAGTGGACAGTTCAGTCCGGTGTTCTAAATTATTGGAACCGTAACCTCCTCCTCTTTCTCACGCAACATCGCGGTCGACCTTCTGCAGTCCTTACTTTGTTCTCTTATTTGATTAGCCTTTTGGTAATTAATGGTCATTGTAACATGAAATTTTGTCTTCCTGTTAGTCTCTATTATAGTTTACTAGATTGCTGATATTGTTGTTAAAACAATGTCGACTTACATAAGTCAAAATAAAAGTTGGTAGATTTATTTATTTATTTTTGTCTTTGTTCATTGTAGTCCATATAAGTAACTGTTATATAACATATATTGATGATATACGGATAAAAATAAGGACAATTTCCCACTTGCCTAATGTGGGACTTTTCAAAAGCCCTAGGTCGTTTGGCTTGACAAAATTGGAGAAATAAAATGATAAAGAAAAGATAAATTATCTTCTAAGAAGCAAGAACATTTTTGACCTTCCTTACAGTTGGACGGGTTTTAGATTGATCATGGATGGGAGAGTTAATTGTGAGTCAATAATCAATTATCAACTTATTTATAATTGGTCGTAAAAGAAGTGGGTATTAAATAGACTTGTTAACAAACACCCAACTCAATTATCCAAATATTTTTTTGATACAAATTGTTAAATTATTTTAATTGTTGAATACCAAAAAAATATATTTTTATATTAAATTTATTAATTTTTTAGTGTCACGCGTTGCAATATTTTTTTCTTTTTTTTACTATTATTTATTTATTATTTAGAAAATAGTCATTATACAACTTATTTTGAGATTTATCACAATCTAAAAATAAATAAATAAATAAATAAAGATTGGAGATAAAACGAAGGAGAAAGAAGTGAGAGAAATAGGGGAAGAGAAAAAAAGAGAAAAGATATATAATGGGAGACACCAAAAAAATAAAAAGGTAAAAAATAATAAGTTATTATTATTATTATTGTTATTTTTAAAATTTTAAAGAAAAATAATTTTTTTAATTTAAATTAAATTAAATGTTTTTTCTCTTTTTTTTTTTTTTTTTTTTTTTTTTTTTTTTTTTCAAAGAGAGAAACAGGGAATAGGAGGAGAGAAAAAAACAGAAGAGAAACATAAAATATTAATAATATTAGAATACCTACACTTTCAGTAATATTATTACTATTTTGATTGTTGAATAACAAAAAAATATATATATATATATATATATATATATATATTTTTTTTTTTATATTAATTTTTTATTTCAAACATTATAATTTTTATTTTTTTATTTTTATGACAGAAAAAGATAGAAAATAGAGGAGATAGAAAAAGAGAAAAGAGAGAGAGAAGAAAAACAGGATTTTGTTTGAACGGGTTAAGATGAGTAGCTACTCTTAACCCACTATTGACGCTTTAATTGAATGGGTACCCAAATAATTTAATTTTTGTAGTCGGATTTGGACTTAAATTGCCACCCCTACCCTAAACAAACCAATTATAACTTCAAATAATTGGGTCGATCACTTGAGAACTGAATCGATAATTGCTGGTAACCCAAACCAATTATTATTTCAAGACGGGTTTGGTTGTCAAAATCCATAAGAGCTTATCATACAACACAATACGCGTAACAGATATATATATAAATGAAGACAATGAATAGAAACACAGACTAGTTGAATTTGGCGATGCATATCCGATCTTTTCAATTTTGCGATCAATCTAAGTATTGAGAAAAGGAAGCCAACAGGTAACAATCGTCTTTTTGGGTTTAGGGTATCTATATGTGTGTGTGTTTGTGTATACAGGGGTGTGAGACATTCCAAGAAAGAAAAGGAAGTTTACGGAGTTTAAGAAGTCGGAGAAACAAAGGAAATTTTGTAACAAAAAGATATATGGAACGGACTCATTCACGGTCAAAGTTCGCAACACTAACTTTGATGTTTCGTTTGGTTGGAGGGGTGGAAATTAATAAGGACAGAAAGAAAATGATGAATAAAGTATTTATAGGAAGGGTGGTGGTCTCTTTTACTTTTTTATTTGATTGGGTGAAATGAGTAATAGAAAAGGATGATGATTTTTTTTATTTTTTTATTTTTTAATCTTATTTGGTTGTATCAATTTCAAATCATAAAACAACGGTAATTCTTTACTTATGCTAGGGTATTAGTTAGTTTGCTTACAATACAAGTCAAATTTCCATCCTATGTTTAAAGGATGATAATGATAATAATTATTAATTGGCAATGAATGATGGAAGACTTTTTTTCTTTTCGTTTTTTCCGATAAATTAACATTTATTAGAAGGAAAAAATAAATTAATGGTGGACTGTATCATCATTGTTTACAAATGACATGGCAAAAAAATTAACACCATCAGAAATTCCAAACTCGATGTTGGACCAATCCTCTCTATTATATTATGATTTCAAAGATAAACAAGGAAATGATGAATCTTAATCCCTCCTTGCTTCCTTCCTCTTTACCTTTCCCTTTAACCAAATGCAATAAATATTTTTTTTATCTCTCCTCTCATCCATCCCTTCTCAATCATTCCTTCCAATAAAACATAGCATGAGTAAATTACATTGACTTGGTTTTTTTAGCTTTATTATTTTGACTTTTTCTAAAATATGGTGCATTTGGTCCACTATACCTCCAGTCTAAGAAACTTTTATATGGACATGCTTGGGTCCTCTCTTAAAAGAATGAAGTTCATATTTAATTTTTACTATTGATTTTTTTTTTTATATATTTTTTTAAACATGTGTTCTAAATATATTAAACCACATGACTAGATGGTCAACTTCGTCCTCGTTAGGAAAAACCCAAGCATTGTCCAAATTTTATTACAGCCAACATTTAATTGATTAATTGCCATGTGAATATTGATATGATGCTGTCCACTTGTCCTTGTTCCCATTTCCCATGATTTCCACTTTCTCATCTGCAAATTCCATTACCAAAAAGCATCAATTCATGTTTTTTTTTTTTTTTTTTGAAAGTGTGTGTGTGTGTGAGAGAGAGAGAGAGAGAGTGAGAGTGAACGACATAAAGCCAAAGTTATAATGCCATAAAGGATGTGGGAAACAACTAACACGAAGATGAGTATGTGCACTTCGTGGATGCCATAAGGGGACGCAAACGGGAACTCTACCGTGCTATTCAAAATTCAAGCGTACCCGAACACACCTTAAAATTTTACCAATAACGTAATTAGTTGGTCAGATTCATTATTCAAAATGAATTATCTAATCTACGAATTTTAATTGATCATATATCACTATTCTTGATTGATTTATTTTTTGAAATTGACTAATTGATCACTTGGAAAAACGTAGATTGCCAAGACTACAAGGAATACTTTATTCATATGTATATACGCTTCGAACTTTCAAAAAAAAAAAAAAAAATACAACAATGAAGATCCTGAAATAAACATGACCCACATGGCAAGGAATGAAGAAACTTATACTCCTCCTGGTTAGAATTTAACTTTTTAAGATGATTTCTTTCTGTTTTTATTTTTATTATTATTATTATTTTTATTATATTGATAAT